TGACTAAGACCTGAAATACAAAATGGAACCTACCTGCCAGATGTCAGGGTGTTTGGTAGGAGTGTAGATAATTTACTCCCTAATCTCAAAGCAGTGGGAGTGGGTCCACCAAACTGCTGGAAGGTCTTAGACTGGCAAGGCTTCAAGACCCAGAATCAGTAGCCCAACAATCAGAGAGTGGAGAGCACTCCAAGGGAGCAGGTTTAAGCAGAGTGGGGACCAGGAAGAAGGGGTCTAACAGTGAATTCTGTCTAGCTTCAGAAGGTTTTGTTACAAATATTTTTAAGGGCTTTTCACTAGTAAGTTCAGGTTAACAGTCTCCTCTAGTCAGGATTTTGGTGCAAACCCCTAAAAGTGCCTGTTGTTGTTATTGTCAGGTGCTATTGAGTCAACTACAACTCATGTGTCTCTGCAGATCCAGAGAATTATGGAGGAATCACAACGGGAGATAGAGAGCAAAGGAGACATGTAGCTGCATATGCACTGCAGGAAATTTTCAAGTGTGTAACAAAAACTGCTAATTATGATAACGTTAATGGGGTCACTCGAAGGAAGGAAGAGAATCTAGCAGTCTTTCTCAGCCAAGTCACATCTTTAGAAAATACAATAACAAGGATCCTAAAAGTCAGTCAGGGAGAGCCTTCATGGGCATGCATTTTAATACCGGCAGCCTCAAATATTAAAAGGAAGCTAAGTAAAGCAGAATGAGGGTCCCAGGCTCCTCACTGTTAATGGTAGAAGAGGCTTTCAATGTTTTTAATGATAGGGGTAGAGTGGAAGAGGCTGAAGAGGATACAAATATGGAAGAGAAGGTTCACTTGTTTGCTTTAGTTTTTCAAGAGCCACCTCCAAGCAATCTTGAATTCCAATCCCAAAAAGGGGCCATTACCATGAGGCTTCAGCAGACTGGACACGTTACAGTGCATCCAGTGTAGATACTGCAAAAGGTGAGTCACTGGCAGAGGGAGTGTAGACCATCCTAAAACAGGGTATGCTGTTGGCCCCTTCTACCAGATGCCAACTGAGCCAGTCTGCCCCACTGGTGGGGCCAGCGTCTTCATCTTAACAGTACAACCCCAGGTTGTTATCAGTGTGGAAGGTAACATGTTCTAGTTTTTGCTAGGTACGGAGGCAACTTCTCCAATTTACCTTCCTTTTGGGGACTCTTCCCTATCAAGAATGGAGGTTCACGGATATAGATGATATAACTTAAGACTAAAACTTGCACTGCATCACTTCCATGTAAGATCCAGGACTGTACTACATTAGATTTTTTGTTTACATGCCTGAATGCCTGACATCCCTATTAGGACAAGATTTGCTTACCAAAATAAGTGTCAGAGCTTTTCTGAAAGAAGGGCTATAAGACCCATTAGAGCCCAACTAAGATGATCTGTTGTTAATCTTGCAAACAACTGAGAGGAGAATCCTAGGAAGGTTCCCAAAGAGTTTGGGGCACAGATCCCTGCAGAGGTATGTGGCACCTCTGTGCCAGGAAAGGCTAAATGAGAGAGCCTGTAAAGCTCACTCTAAACCCAGGAGTCTCTTTAAAAACACCAGTACCCTTTAACACTAGATGTTTTGGAAGGAATTCAGCCAGTCCTTGGTCATCTACTGCAACATGGGTTCATTAACGCTTGTCAGTTCCCTTGCAACAGACTGGCTGGATTCTGTCGCATACAGACTCCTGGCCTATCTGTGGACTCCTCGCTAAATCCCTTCAAGAGCTCCTTGAGTTGGACTTGAGAGCTCTCAAGCTTTTAGGAAAATAAAGAGGCAGTTGAGACTAGCCCCAGCTCTCCCAGATCTTAAGTAGCCCTGCACCTCTATGTCCACAAAAGGCAAGACGCTGCCCTTGGGATCGATCCTGACTCAACACTAATGGTTCAAAACAGGCCCACAACTAGTGACAAAAAGTTAGAAACAGCTGCACAAGAATGACCACACAGCTTGTGGTCTGTAGGGGCTCCGGTGCTTTGGTAACCAACCCTCGGCCTCCGGCAGTTTTTCAGAGGCAGTGAATTGCACAGGAGGAGACTGCCCATTTTCCTCCTGGAGAGCAGCTACTTAATAGCATTGTTTTTGTGTTGTTGTTGAATGCCTTTTAGCGAAGCACGATTCATAGCGACATTAGGAATAAAAGGCCAGAAGCATTTCTGTAACTATTGACATTCATCAAAGTTCACAGAGTTTCCAGAGGCATGTTGTTTAAGAAGTGGATACCACTCCTGCTTCCAAAGTTAACAGCATAAAGTATATGAGGTATAGTAAACCAGAAGATAGATGGTTGAAAAATAAGGAAGGAATCTTATTAATCCTTATGATTACCTGAAGAATCAACATAAAAGGTGGTGAAAGTTCTGCACTAAACTCTCCATTACAGGGAGGCTACGGTAACAGATCTGATAGGAAAAATCATGCAGGGGAGAAAGAGGAACAAAATGGAAAATACTACAATCAGAGGATGTGAAATTTGCCCCCATTAAGCTTGAAGTAGTTTCAGAAGAGATCATCACTTCTCCTAAAGATTATTGTTGATTTTAGGTGCCATCAAGTCAAGCACAACTTCTAGTGACACTATGAACACCAGATGTGAACCCTATGCTATTCCGTGCCGTCCGCACAAGCTCTGACGCACTAAAGCCCACTGCTGCCATCACTGTGTCCATCCAACTTGCTGAGGGTCTTCTCTTTGGCTGACTCTCCACCTTTCCAAGCATGATGTCCCTCTCCCAGGAATAGCCTCTCCCGGCAACATGCCTGAAGTATGTGAGATGAAGCTTTAGCACCTTTGCCACTCTGGCTGCACCTTCTCCAAAGCGTATTTGTTCTGTTAACATTCTACACGACACTCAGTACTCTTCCCCAACAGCACAGCTCAAAGGCATCAATTCTCTGTCACCCTTACTCACTGGTTGGTTCCCAGAAGCACAGCAAGTGACTGAAAAGCCCGCGGCCTGCATCAGGCATACTTCAGTCCTCAACTGACATAACTAACTGTTCCTCAATCATTTGGAGAGTTCTCTGACTTCAGACTTTCCCAGTGCAATACATCTCCTGCTTGCTTGGACCACAGATGTTCATTGGGGTTCCAAGTAAAATTAATTCACTAACAATGTCAATCTTTTCTCCATCTACCATGATGGCACCTATCAGTCCCAGCGGTAACAATTTTTGTTTTCTTGACACTGAGAGGCAATGACGTTGAAGGTTGTAGTCTTTGATCTTCTACAGCAAGCACTTCAAGTCTTCCTCACTTTCAGCAAGCAAAGTTGTGTCATCGGCATACCTCAGGTTACTGACGAGTCTTCCTCCAATCCCGATGCCAGGCTTTTCTTCAAAGAGTCCCGTTTCTCAAATAATTTGCTTAGCATATGGACTGAACAGGTATGGAAAAATATACAACCCTGACACCCATTTTTTTTTTAATGTTAAACCATGCGTTGTTTCCTTACTCTGTTCACACAGAGGGTCCGTGAAGGGGGAGAAACCCTCAAAGGGATGGAAGAGCACAGTGAATGTAACAGTGGACTGGAGTTCGTAAGCAATGCTGAGAACGGCCCAGGGCAAGGCAAGGTTCCAATCTGCTGTTCACAGAGTCACGGTGAGTCAACTGGAGGGTGTCTAATAACAACAACAAATATTCGCTTTTTAAAGCAGCGCATTTAGGACTTTTTGTCCTCATCTCTGTGATTCAGTTTGGGGAAGCAGAATCATGGATAACAGTTTTGAAAGAATAATGCTTTTCCTATTTGGAGCAACCATCATGTATTAAAGAAAATTACCATCATTAAATTATTTAATCTATGTAAAATAATTATGAATGGATGGCAACTCATTGCTCTGCTATTTAAACATTATTATAAAATTATTACTAAATTATTTAAAAAATTAAATGGAAATTAAAAAATAGAATTATAAAAATAATATTTACTTTAAAAAATAAAGAATGAGAAGCTACAAGTTATAAATCTCAGCAAGTTATTTTTTTAAAGAAAGCTTGCATTCTTGGTGCTGGCCTCAGAAAAATACAGTATACATCACAGTAGGCTTAATTCAAGAGTTCTTTTTGAAATGGTAAAGGAACTTCTAATTAACAGAAACCCTAAAGAACAATGTTATTGTTGTTAAGTGCCATCGAGTTACAGGCGACTCATAGCAACCCTATGAAGGAGAGTCCTCAACACTTGGGTGTCTTTCATCCTCTCTCCAGGTTCATAGGGTTTCCGGAGGCAAGCTATTATGGAAGTGGATGCCACTCCTCCTTCCATGCTTGTTTTAATCGTGGAGCTCCACTCCACTCTCTGTCTGCTTTGGGTAAACAGCCATTAACGCATTTGACACATCAGTGTCACAGTGTTTAGCCTCACAGCAACCACAAGTTACTGCTGTGCGGCAACTTGTACACCACAGCTATAGGACCTAGAGGAATGTCTGAACAAAAACAATGAAAGACAGGCCCCGAGGGCTTGAGGCCTGAGCAAAAGAACATTAGGCCAACATAAATTCCAGTATTTACAGCTGCTGAGTTAGCTAAATTTATATGAAAGACAATGATGGAATACAAAAAAAAATCCATCTTCAAAGGAACCCTGGGGAAAGTGTATTAGGTATTGGACTACTGACAAAAAGGTCAGGGGTTCAAAGCCATCAGGCACCCACATGAGAACGATGAGGAAGCTTCTCCGCTGAAGAGGTTGAGCCCCTGAAATCCAAAGGAGGGTCCCTATAAGTGGGAAGCTAATTCACGGCAGGAGGTTTTCAAGAACAACTAAAGTAGAATCAACAGGCAGTACCAAAGTTTTACATAAATATGTATGATGAGCAAGAGAAGCTTAGAGAGAAATTTTTGCTGCAATGGAACTGTAGTAAATTCCATTGGTGGCACAGGCTTTCCTTGTCATAATCATTTCATAAATGAATGGACAGATGGTACGTACAAGACTTAGAATATTTTAAATATTCCATATGAATACAAGAATAAATGGCCTCCACCCTACCTTCTGCACATCAGCGTCATGCTTCTGCTGTAGCTTCAACTTCTCCTCATGAAATTTAGCTTCCACTAATTTTGTCTTCATATCCAACTTCAAAAAATTAATTTAAAAGTATCATTAATTTATTCATCCCTTTGGCAAGAATACACAATTAAATGAAAATAACTTCATATGAAAAGGTATAATTTTCAACTGTTCACCTCTTCACTGTGAGTTCTAGCAATCTTACTACATATACCAGTATGCTGGTTAAATTGTGTCCATTATTTATAAACTATCTGAAAATCTTCCAAACAAAGGTTACTTGTTTGGCAAAACTGGCAATACTAAGCGTACATTTATCTAATTCTTCTCCTACTTAAAAAAAAAAAGTTATTTTGATATTTTCTGTTTTTAAATTTTTTCCCCTTTTTTATTTTAAATTTATTATTATTATTATTAATTCCAATGAACATCTACAGAGATTTTGGAATTCCATTCATTCGTTGTTGCACTTTTCTCCCCACCCCAGACAAACTCCTTCATTTGTACACAATCCCCTCCCACACCCCGCACATCCCCACCCCCACCCCAAGTATACTCCACTCTGCAACCCTCACTCCGGACTCTTATGATAATATAATGCCCTAAAATCTATTCATTTTAAACTATTCTCTCCCTCATCGGCTTCAATGCAGTAAACATAATTTATCCAGTTTAAATTTAAATCCACATAGTATTGTATCCTTTAGCTTTCCTTTTAGTAAGTCTCTATCCTGACCTTCCGACTCTTCCTTCACACACCTCCAGGCACATTTACAAAGACACTTAACCATGACAAAGTACAAACAAATACTCCTAACTATGGCCTATGTGAAGACATCTGTCAGCAGGCTTTCCAGTTTTCTCCCCCAGACCCTTCTTCCCTCACATCCTCAACATACTTCAGACTTTACCCTGAATGTTTGCTGAATAAAATCATTTCATTACCGCCACATATTAATTGTCTTTGTCTCAGACCTATGTACGTTTGTAAGTACAGGTTATTGCTGGTAGGTGCCGTGGAAAGAGATGAGGAACTTTACAAGCAGACCAGAACTTTTGTCTTTCCCTGTAGATTGTGATACCCTCACAGTCTCGGTTATGCTCAAGTCCCTACTGCAGTCACTGCGCCGCTGAGAGTCTGCCCTCAATGATGTCAGTTTAAAGACTAAGGTGTGTCTGCCTGAATCTCTGGTATCTCCAGCTGCTTCATATGCTTCCCAAAGCTGGACAATGAATAAGGAAGAACAAAGAAACAATACCTTTGAATTGTGATACTGGCAAAGAGTATCAAACATGCCTTGAACTGCCAAAAAACCAAATCAATCTTGGAGAGCGTGTAAGCATGGAGCTCATTAGAGGCAAGGATGGTGAAATGCTATACTCTGGGCACGTGGTCAGGAGGGCCAGTCCATGGAAAAAGACATCATGTGTGGAAGAGCAGAGGGTCAGGGAAAGACAAGACAATCATCAATGAGATAGACTAATACAGTGACTGCACCAATGGGCTCGAATGTGGTGGACACTGGGAGAGGTTTCTGTTGTTCCAAGGCTGGCTATGAGTTGCAGTCAACTGAAAGCCTCTAAGAACAATAAACTTTAAATTCTTTCCTCAGCACATATCCTGAATTGTTGTTGTTGTTGTTGTTGTTATGTGCCATCAAGTCGCTTGCGATTCATAGCGACCCTACATACAACAGCCCTAAACTCTACTCTGTCCTGTGCCAATCACACTGTCCCCGATACACCCATCCCGATGACCCCAGTCACAGAATCAATCCACCTCATAGAGGACCTTCCCCTCCTACGCTGTACCTCCATCCTACCAAGCATGATGTCCCTCTCCAAGGACTGGCCCCTCCTTACAACATGTCCCAAGTATGTTAAACGGAGCCTCAGAATCCTTGCCTCCAAGGAGCCACCCCCAGTTTGACCCTTTCCAAGATGAATCTGTTCGTTTTCTTGGCAGTCCATGGTACCCTCAATACTCTTCTCCAGCACAACAGCTCAAAGGCATCAATTCTCCTTCTATCTTCTTTGATCATTGTCCAACTCTCTGATGCATAACAAGTGATTGCAAAGACCATGGCCTGTATCAGATGCACCTTAGTCTCCAGAGAGACACCATTGCTCTTCAGTACTTTGGAGTAGGTATGGTAAAAGGAAACAACTCTGAAGTAAACCCAATTTTAAACCATGCAGTATTCATCCCCTTGTTCTGTTCAAAAGACTGATGCTTGATCTATTTATGGGTTTTAGATGAGCACAACTTAAGTCTTCTGGAATTGTAGTCATTCCCAATGCTATGTATAATGTACTATACGATCCACCCAGTTAAATGTCTTTTCATAGTCAATAAAAAACAAGGAAATATCATTCTAGCATTCTCTGCTTTAAGCCATATCCGCCTGGTATCATTAATGATGTCCCTTGTCCAAGGCTTGTTTTAAATTCAGTTTTGAGCTCTGGTGGCCTAGTGGCAAGAAGCTGCACTGCAATCTCAGAGGTACGCAGTTCAAATCCACCAGATGCTTTGCTGGAGAAGTAGGGGCAATCTCCTCCTGTACCAGTCAGATCCGATTTGACGGTACACAGACACAAAATAATAAAATTTTTTAAAAAATCAGTTTTAATATTTTGCAGTTCCTTGTCAATGTGCTGTTATAGTGTTCTTATATGATCTTCATTACTTGTATGTGATATTAATAACACTGTTTTAAAATTTTCACATCTCTTGGATTGCCTTTTTTATTTTTTTAAATGGTAACAACTATGGATATTTTCTAGTCTATTAGCCAGGCAGCTATCTTCCAAATTTCTTGGCAAGCACTTCCATGGCTGGTAAGCACACTGACGGCTACAGTTACTTGCTGAAACATCTCAACTGGTATTCCATCAATTCCTAATGCAATGGAAAATGCCATGGTGTGGGTCAGGTCCACCTTAGTCTTTCTATTAACATCCTTGCTCTTTAACATTTCAGAGGTCTCTGTCAGATTTGTCCAAGGCAATACATTTCCCCCCCTTTCTTCATTGCTACTACCACAGGTGATAACTGTGGGCAAGAAACTGCACCACAATCCTGAAGACATGTGTTTCGAGGTCACCCGGGGAGAAGGCTAGGCACTCGCATCCCATGTGATTAACTGCCTCTTATAACCCACCACAGGGTCGGCTATGGGTGGGCTCTGACTCAGTGGTACACAACAACACATTTTTTTTCTTTATTAATATTACTCCAGGTGATAATTGTGGATCAACACTTGTGGTAGCAATGTACGGAGGAGAGCAGTGTAAGCATATATAAGCACACATGTATTAAAATTCACACTTTAAAATAGCTGAGCCTAAGTTACAAAGATCCTTCTGTGCAAACTCAGGCAGACTGAGTCACTAGGGACTTGGAGGGGAGACAACACTCATAAAGCCGAGTGAAAGAAAAATGAGTACTCTCTTCTCTCAATACCAAAAACCAGAAATTATTCAATTTGCTCTCGCTTAAAATCACTGCTGTCTCGTCAATCTGAAATCACAGCAGCCCGTAATGACAGAATAGAAGCATGCCCAGGATTTCTGCAGCTGTACATCTTTAAGGACGCAGACTGCCCCTCCTTTCTCCTGTGGAGCCTCTGAAGGGCTTGAACTTCTAACCTTCTGGTTAGCAGCCAAGAGCTTTAGAATGCTCTCACTTAGCACGGCTAGAGTTCCAGAGGTTGAATTGTTGTTGTTAGGTGCCATCGAGCTAATTGTGCCACATAGCAACTCTATGAACAAAAGATCTGAACCCTCCTCTATCCTGCGCCATCCTCACACTTCCTGACACACAAGAGCCCATAGCAGCAGTCACCATGTCAATCCACTTCGTTGAGGGTCTTCCTCTTCTTTGCTGACCCTCCACCCTTCCCAGCATCATGTCCTTCTACAAGAACAGACCATCCTCGTAACATGCCCAAAGTAGGTGAGGCAAAGCCTCATCATTCTTGCCTCCAAAGAGCAATCAGGCTGCACCCTCTCCAAGACATATCTGTTGGCTCTCTTGGCCGCCCATGGGATGTTCAATGTTCTTATACAAAATGACAGCTCAAAGGCGTCAATTCTTTTTCTGTCATCCTTATTCATTATCCAGCTCTGAGATGCGTAACAGGTGATCAGAAAACCATGTTCTGAATCAGATGCACCTTAATCATCAGATTGACAGCATTACTCCTCAATAATTTGGAAAGGTCCCTAAGTGCAGATTTTCCCAGCGCAGTGTGTCTCCTTATTTCCTGACTGCTGGCATCAAAGGTGTTAACTGTGGATCCAAGCAAGGTGAAGATGTTGATAGTTTCCTATAGTTCCTATCAGGTCAGTGATGAGAATCTTTGTCTTCTTGATATCGAGATATAATCCATAACGAAGGCTGCATTCCTTGATCTTCTACAAGTGCTTCAAGTCCTCCTCACTTTAAGCAAGTAAAGTTGAATTAGCAGCTGGAATTAAACTCTGGAAAGTTAAAGCCAGAACTCTGAAATTAGAGCCATTTGCCTCCACTGAAAATATTTTATGGTGAGAATCAGATGGGATAAGTGTCAAGGGGAAATCACCTTACTTGTGACCAAATCCCTGGGCCATATTGCAGAAGTATTTCTCAAACAATGAGGTGAACCAGCGCTGAGCTAAACCACCCATATAAGCAAAAGAACAGAGGGTCAGGAGGATGCACTCCTAGGCTTGTCTATGCTGAGGCAACTGCTAGAGGCAAGGCACTGGAGAGAAGCAGTCTGATTTTCTGGAAGCATCCCCCCACAGGCTACTTTTAAGAGGATTTTTGAGAGTTCTATTTAGAAAAAGTTTCAGAGAGTTTATTTACAAAGTCTATTTGGGCCCCCTGTTCTTTGAAGTACTTAAAAAAATTACTCTGGGGTTGGACAGTTCTACCAAATTAAATAAGGCCGATGAATACCCTCACTTAAAGAGTTAGAATAAAAGCATTTCCATGCATGTAAAAGCCATCCTACTCACAGTCTAACTAGGTACGTTCTAAAACAATTACCAGTGTAATTTGTTCATTTTATTCCACTGAATAT